GTGAGCGGGGCATAGCTGTTTCACAGGGGACATCGCATCTCCGGCGATGTTCAAGCCACCACGAGGGCTTCACCCCCTCCCCCTCCAGCCCATCCCTGGAGCCGGGATCTTTGGCAACCCCGGCTGTTTTGCCCAACGCTGGGAAAACCGGGCAGGTGCCCGCACGTCGGCCGCCCACGCTCGCTCCACCCCAGGCACGGCCTCCAGCCCAGCACCCGGGGCCATCACCACGTGCTGCCCTCTTGCTCGCGCACCCAACCCGCAGCTCGCAGGGGACAAGAGCGGGCCAAAGCCAGGCAAAAAATATAAATAAATAAGCCCCAAATCCAGTAAAATCAAGAGAAGCGACGGGGTCACGCCAGGCTATCGTACCCGAGCCGCTAAAATTAGACCTTCCCAAAAACACGATTATTTATCAACACCGCGTTTCAGCCCGAAACCATACCCTGTATTTTTAGGCTTGACCTTTTCTCCTTCTATTCTGGGGTTGTTTAATTATCGCGGCGTTTTTTTTCACGCCGCTTCAGCCTGAGCTGGTTTTTCTTAATGGCAGTCTTGAACGGGAGGCTGGACCCCGGCCAGAAGCGCCGTCCCCGCAGCCCCATCAGCAGAAGAAAGTTTATTTGTGCTTTTGCGCTGGAGACCTTTGCCCGTTCCTCCCCTGGTTTGACGCTCGGGAACGCGGCGGGAAGGTTTGAACCAGCGTCGCTCGGGATGGACGGACGGACAGATGGACAGGAGGGTCCTGTTTGCTTCAACATGGCCAAGGGATGGGATTTCGCTTCCCAAATTCACGTTTCCAGGCCCAAATCGCTGCACCGGAGGGGAAGGAGCTGATGGGGTGGGCAGGATCCGGCCTGGCACCCGCGCGCTGCCTCACGCCGTGCGAGGCAGATCCGTGACTCACAGGGTGGTTTCAATCAGGCATTGGTTAATGATTACATTAATTGAGCAGGCAAAGGCTCTGCACTTCATGCCTGGGAGGTGGGGGGGTCCATGGAAGGTGTAAAGGGAGGGATGTGGGGTGCCAAGAGAGAGAAACCAGGCATTTCCACCCTGAAACCTGGTCAGGATGGTCCCCTGCAGCTGGGGATGGAGACCTCAGGGTGGGATCTGGGTTAGGGGTCACCCGAGATGGGTCCTGGGGGATCATCTAGGCTAGGACCTGGGGGAACCTGTGGAATAAGATCTGGGGTCTCATCTAAGAGGAGACCTGGAGGAGGGTCACCTGAGATGGGACATGGGGGGCCATCTATGTTGGAGCTTGGAGGATTATTTCAGATGTGTCCTGGGAGATCCCTTGCAGTAAGAACTGGGGGATCAGGTAAAATGGGACCTGGGATGGCACACTGGGGCTCACTTAGGATGGGGCTTGGAGGATCACCTGTGACTGGACCTGGGAAATCACCAAGGATGGGACCTGGGGATCATCTAGGATGGGATCTGGGGGAACATCTAAGATGGGACCTGGGGGGGGGGCCACATAGGGTGACAGATGAGGAATCACTTCGGTTGGACCATGGGGGGTCACCTGGGGTGGAACCTGGGGGATAGTCTGGGATGGGACCTGGGGGTTCGTCTAGGATGGGACATGGAGATCTTCTAGAACGAGACATGGAGGATCCTGCAGGATGAGGCATGGGGTCTTCCCTTGGGATGGGATTTGAGGGGGAATCTCCTGGATCCAGACTGCAGCAGCTGATCCAATCTCCACAGCTGACAATCTTCCACCACCTTTCCGTGTCTTTTCCTCCAACAAAAAAGCCACCAAGAGCTCCAGAACCCCCCCAAAACCAGGGGCCCAATCATACC